TATTAACAGCAAACCTCAAACTATTTTCTGTCCTGATAAAATATTTGATCTAAGATTTTTATGAAACTCCCACTCTAGGTATGTAATCTATAAAGAGATCTTTGGGAAAGTTTTATAAGATTTTTTTTAAAAACTGAACATTTGGAAAAGTGCCTTAAAAAAGTGTGTATAGTTTAATTAAACTATAGTTAAAGCTCTTAGTTAAAGCTAAGAGCCATGAAAGTACCACCCAAATCAAGAAATAAAACATCACCTATACCTTGAAGTCCTCCATGTGCCTCTGCCTGATCATTATCTCCCAATTTTCTAGAGTTTATCATTATTCTTTTATAATTTCATACCTTTTCTTTATAGTTTTCTATGTATAAATGTATCCTTAAACAATATAATTTTTTACTACTTCTGAACTTTATATGAATAGAATCAAGCTGTATGTATTTTGTGCCTTTTTTGGCTAAATTTTGTGAGATTAGTCTGTGTTAATTGTGTGTAGTTGTAGTTCATTAAATGTCATGGCTGTGCAGTATTTCACTGTATAAAAATCCATGTAGATGGACATTTAGGCAGTTTATAGCTTTTGGCCATTAAGAACATTGCTGCTATGGACATTTTTAGACCTATATCCTGGTGTACATGGGCAAGAATTTAAGAGTAGAATTGGTGTGTGGATTTACAGTATGCATATCTTCAAGTTTTGTGTGTGTGTGTGTGTGTATAAGGTGTGAAGTTTAGGTCAAATTTCTTTTTTTTCCCTTTGCCCTTTGTATTTATGGCAAATACAGATGGTCAATTGTTCTGACACTGTTGAAAAGACTGTCTTCCACTGAATCACTTTTACACCTTTGCCAAAGAACAAATAGCTATATTTGTGTGGATTTATTTCTGGACTCTATTTTGTTCCATTCATCTACATGTCCATCTCTTTTCCAATACCACACTATCTTGATTTCTATAGCTTTATAATAAGTCTTAAAATCAGGTAGTTTGGTTCCTTGAGCTTTGTCTTTTTAAAAATTGCTTTAAGCTATTCTAGTTTCTTTTCTCTTTCATATAAATTGTACAATAATCTTGTCTATGTCCACAAAAAATGCTGCTGGGATTTTCATAGGGATGGTATTAAATCTACAGATCACTTTGGGGAGTATTGACATATTTACTATGTTAGATCTTCCAATCCATGAACAGTGTCTTTCCATTTAGATCTTCTTGACTTCATCATCACCTTTCTTCTTTGTTAATATATGCATTTAATGCTATAAATCCCCCTGTAAGCACTACTTTCTCTGCCTCCTACAAATTGTGGTATGTTGTATTTTAAATTTTCATTTGGTTCAAAATATTTTTAAAATTCCTTTGAGATGTCCTCTTTGACTCTATGGTTATTTTTATGGTATTTGAGTATTTTCCAGGATGTTCTAGTTTAATTCTATTATAGTCTGAAAATCTACTTTGTATGATTTCTATTCTTTTATATTTCGTAAGGTTTGTTTTATGGCCCAGAATAAGGTCTATCTTGGTGAATGTTCCATGTGCACTTAAAAAGACTATATTTTGCTGCTGTTTAGAGTGTTATATAAACATCCATTGGGTTATGTTAATTCATAGTATTTTTTGGGTCATCTCTAAGTGTTCTGATTTTTTTGCCTACTTTGTCTTTCAGTTACTGTAAAGGAGTATTGATGTCTCCAACTTAAATTGTGGGCTTGTCTATTTCTCTTTTTTGTCTGTTAGTTTTTATGTTATACATTTAACTTCTGCACATTTAGAATTTTCATGTCAAGAAGAGGGGAATGATCTTGGGTGAGTCTGCCCTCCTTGTATCATGCTAACAGCTGAATACTGATAGCAGTCCCAGAAATTAGAGTAATAAATCCTTTATTCTTGGTGGAGGGTCTGGACACCACACTACAGCATCCACCAGGAAGATTCAGGTATTTTTCTTGTTGAGTCTGTTCTGGTGCTGTTTTCTTAGGAATTGGCCCATTTTATATAAACTTTCAAATTCATTTGTATAATTGTTCTCAAAGTCTTCCTCTATTTGTTTTAACAAATACGTCATCTGTAGTTAAATATTTTTCATTTCTGCTATTGGTGTGTCTGTTTTCTTTTTCTTGAAAGAAGCTCTTGGGGCAGCCTGTAACCAATAACTGATGAATGTGGGGGCATAAATGCCCAGCCTTGTTACCCGACTTGGGACAGTTTAGGAGACAGGACAGGTTATCCATCTCTGAACTCAATGTAGTGAGGCATTCCACTGAGAATGCACCACAACTTGATTTCCCCCTCTGCCCAATCTTGCTTCATCCCTTCACCTTTGTACAATTGTTGATCAAGAGCACTCCCTAATCAGTTTTATCAGACTTTTAAAATAACTGGTCAGGTGATATAAAGCCAGGCTGCAAGTCATCATAAGAGCTGGTTTTCCTTTAGTTCACCTATATACTGAGGAGTAAGACCTTAAGGGTCTTAGATTAATCCTAAGAATACTGTTAAGGTCTATTGGACACAATTTAAGTTTTTGAGTTTTTTTTTTTTAAGAAGTTCTGGTTATTTGCAAAGATGGAGAAATGGAAAGGGCTTGCTGTGGATTGATTGAATTGTGTCCCCCAAAGTTCATATATTAGAAGTTTAATTCCCACTGTACCTGTTGAGGGTGGGAAATCCTATTATGGTAATTGAAAGGTGGGGGCTTGAAGAGGTGATTGGATTGTAGGACCATACCATAGTGAATGGATTAATAATGGTGGTCAGGGGCATGGTTCTGAGGGCTTTAAAAGGAGAGCATGTGAGAGTCTCTCTCTGCTCTGCAATTTTCTGCCACGTGAGACCCCTGGGTCACTGTCGCCACCACCAGATGTGTTCCCTGGACTTTGGACTTGCCAGCCTCCAAAACCGTAAGCAATAAATTTTGTTTTCTTTATAAATCACCCAGTTCCAGATATTTTGTTATAAGCAACAGAAATGGATTAATACAGGGCTAGTCCAAATAAATGGTGAATTAACACATATTTACAGTATCTTCAAAATGATTATTAAGTCATAATTACTTCTCTTAGTTTGGAAAAGGAGGATCATAGGCATACGATCAATGGGAGAAATGTCAGAAAATGTTTTCTTTGGTCACTGAAATCGGAAATGGGAGGGAATAAAAGAACCAACACTTATCAAGTACCTTCTACGTACAAATTGCCATTTTTGACTCAAAATAGTCATTTAAGGTAGATATCATTCACTGTCCTTGTTTTACAGATAAAGAAAACAAAGGTCAAAGAGATAACGTGACTGATTCAAAGTCACAAAATGGGGGAGCTGGGTTCTGAATTTAGATTTGGCTGACCTCAATTAAAGTCTTGTTCTTTTTCCACTACAATATTCAGAATTAATACAAAGGTCTTTATTACTGATTCTCAATGTTGTGACACATTTTTTATCTGCTGCTCCTTAAAAAAATGATATTACAGTTGTGTTCAGAGATATAGAAACAGTATTAATGTCACAGATTGTATTTTTAATGGTCATTAACATTTCATTTGTCTGTAACACAACTCCTTGTAGACCCTGACTCCAAATGAGTTTTAAAACTCATGCTATGTCCACTAAAGGATACTAAGCCAAACTGTCTTTGGGAAAGTGTGGTATTGTGCCTGGCACAGTGTTGTGGGTTTACAGCTCTTTAGTGAATTTGAGTATTGTAGTCAGGATAGTCCCATCTTGCCCCTGATTCCCAAACAGGCAATGGGCAAGTCACCTTACCTCAGTCACATGTGATTTATACCTTATAACCTCTAAGGCCTCTTCATGTTCCAAAATAATTATTGAAAAACTCACCACAGTACTTTGTTCCAATAAGGAATGTTTATTAAGAAGACATATTAACATGCTTAGAATACAAAGTAAAACACTTAAACACATGCCACTTTCACTGAACTGTAAAGAAATAAAATAACATGAAGAACAAAATTAATTGTTTTCAGAGAAATTTTTGTGTTTTATAGCTATCACATGCCCATTGCATATTAGAAAAATTTTAGATTGATATATAAACATTTTTCCCAATCTTAGATTTAAGTCTTCTTAAAGTAACTTTTTGGCAATGTGAACTTCAAAATATAAAATTTGCATTGAAGTCTGAATGTAAATTATAAACTACTCCAAACCTTTGAAAATAGAAATGTGATTGAAGATTTGCATTCCCAGATGCTGCCTACAGCAGTTTCCTTTCAAGAAATCAAATGCTCTTCATTATCATGATAAGGATCAATTTTCAAATGAAAATTTTTAGGACACATTAATTCTTGAAGGGTACTATAATATCATTTTTAGTTAATATAAACAAATAATCTTTATATAAGATGTCAACCACCAAGAATTTAGGTTTTCCCAAGAATACGATTTCCTTATGCCTGAAAATAAAATTCTATTGAGTCTATTTGTAGAAGTCCAATAAAATCGTCTGTAAATATTAATAATGACAACTACCACTTATTGAGTACTTACTCTGTGCTAGGCACAAAGCTAAGCACTTTACATACATCATCCCATTTAATGTTTACAGTAACTCAAGTGAATAGGTATTATTAGCCCCACTTTATAAACAAGAAAACTGAGGCTTACAGAGGTTAAGAAATAGCCAAGTTCAGGGCCGGCCCGGTGGCACACTGCTACAGTGCGCCGCTTGGGAAGCGCGGCGGCGCTCACGGACGCAACACTGAGGGTTGTGATCCGTTGCCGGTCACGAAAAAAGACAAAAAGGAAAAAAAAAAAAAAAGAAATAGCCAAGTTCAAACAATAACTTTGTGATTTGTGGGACCAGAAGTTTAAGGCAAGTCTGTCTTACTTTTATTCCAAAGCCAGTGTTCAGTCACTATGCCATCAATAGAGGGACTGCTGACCTGCTGTGATGAAGGTAAATTTTTAATAACTTTATCTGTGATATATTTCCAAAAGTATAATTTGCATTGTTAGAAGAAGCAAGACCAATTGAAGTGGAACACAAAAAATCCTGCTCGTTTAAATATTTTTATTTGTACATGTCTTTTTCCATCATCATTACTCTAATAGGACTACAAATACATAAACACCAGAGTACATGCAACACATTCCACAAAAGAACAAAAACGTAGAGCACTATTGAAGAAAGAACCCAAATTTTTGTATACAAAGTGGTTAAAAAAAATCTTTGTGACAGTCAGATCATATTTATTTGAATACTTTGCAATAATTACCAAGAGATGCATCATTTATAAATAATATTCAAAATCCCCTATTTTCTTCTATAAGCAGAATTTAGTGTTTCAACTAATCAAGTGAATAGTCATTCCATTACATAATATTAAAGGCAAGTCACATAGCATCAAAATGAAACCGATGAGCTTCTTGTCGTTTTTCTCTATCATCTGCTTTCTGAAAAAGAATTTTACATTGGTTTATAAGCGATAGGAAAATGTTAAGAAAAGGCTCATATCTGAAACACGAAGTGATTAATTAAAAAAAAAAAAAGCCCTCAGCAATTAGTAGATAATAGGTGTGATCTTGTAATGCAGTAATCTTATGAAATATTTTTGTAGTTTAGAGTGGCTATTTTATAATTAAATGGTCTAGTTGAATTTAAAAACCAAGAAATGTTCCTTAAATACTTAGATTGTTAGCATTTATTACTTATTTGAAGGTAGGAGTAAGTATTAGGTTCTATAAGGATAGAATCGACAATTGATTGCATTTTGCCCCCATTCTTAACACTGATTTTAATAAATCTAAACTAATTATATTAAAGTACATTAGTTATTTTTTTTGTTAACCTTTTGATTTAGCAGATATTTATTGACCCACTGCTCCTAGCAAGGTGCTGTACTTGGTATATAGAAGGATTAAAAAATCCCTCAGTTTTGTATTTTGTTCTCTAGGAACTTAAAGTGTAGAAAGAAAAACACAGAACATACTGTATAACTGTGCTTCAGGATAAAAAGTGAAAAATATTATCAATATTCTGAGTAAGAGATTACTTCTAGGTTTCGGTGAGGGAAAGGAAAGCTTTGATAAGACAGTATTTTTGGAAGAGGGGGTGGAAGGGACATTCATGCCAAGCTGGGGAGGTGGGCAACGTGAGTAATCATGGGAAGTCTGGAAGGAGCATGGAATATGAGAAAGGAACTGATAAGAAATAAGACTGGGGGCTGGCCCGGTGGCGCACTGCTACAGTGCGTCGCTTGGGACCGCGGTGGCGCTCCCGCCGAGGGTTCGTATCCCACATACAGACCGGTTCCCGCTCACTGGCTGAGTGAGGTGTGGGAGCAACACCGAGGGTTGCGATCCCGTTGCCGGTCCCGGTCCGGTACGGGTGCAACACTGGGGGTTGCGATCCGTTGCCCGACACGAAAAAAGACAAAAAGGAAAAAAAAGAAATAAGACTGGAAAGGTATATTGTGGACTCACATGGAAGTAATATGAAGGCCAGGCTAAGGAGTTTATGCACCAGAGGTTTTTGAGCAGGGGAGTGACATGATTAAGGCTAAACTTAATGATGAATAATATGGCAGCACTGTGATAAATGGAATGGAAAGGGAAAGAATGGAATCAGAGCAGGTAGGATTTAAGAAGAGGATGAACTAAAATAAAGCAGTGGCAGTAGGAATGCAGTAGTGGGGTCAGCTGAAGAGATTCTTATGAAGGCAGAATCAACAAGGCAACTGATTAAATCTCGTAAGAAACAGGAGAGGAGAGACAAAGCCTTGAATACTGGTTTTGAGGTGCTTGTAAATAATCTAGGTAGAGATATCATGGCGACGGCTGAAATGGGGGAAAAGAGTTTTAAAGAGATGAGGACTGGGATATTGAGGTAGTAACTGAAGCCATGATTTTAGATGCAATTGGCAGGGAAAGTGTAGAAAGAAGAGTGCTTAGCTTGACACTGTGGAAAGCTAGCACTGAGGAAATGGCAGAAAGGAGCAGCCGACACGTGAAAAAATGGTCAAAGAGGTAGAAGAAGAATCACAGTGCCACAGGAGACACAGTATATACATGGTCATATACATGCTTATATTTGAAACTTCAATTTTTGCCAGTGCATCATTATTATTATAAACCTACAATGTTATGCTGTAATTAAATTTCCTTACAAATTAATGAAATTAATTTCCTTTCCTTCATAGGTCAAGAGCTAAATAATATTTCAGGCTGCGTTTTGATACTTCTGGACAAAGTATGGAGGATTATCCTTGATCTTACCTCTCAAGTTGTAAACTTAAAATTAACTGAATATGTATTTTATGTTATTGTTTTTGATATGAAAAGAAGTGGTTTTTTTTGATGGACAAACCTATGAACATTTATCAGAAAAATTAACATGTTCTCTTTTTTCATAAGTTAAAATAAAACAGACTAAATTTAGTTAGCAAAAAATAATTATGAGGGGCAAAACAATCCAAAGAGAATAGCTGCAAAAAAAGGAAAAACACCTTTGTTTTGTGACACAAAGAAGTTCTTTGTTCGGGGTATTATTGGAAACTACTAGTTATATATTTCATATATATTCGTATACAAATAGAAATTAGCTTTTCCAATTTATATTTAAATCTATGGTGATCTTTTTTTTCTTCACATAAGCATTGCATAAAAATCTACATTTTGAGGAGTTTTGTTTTCAATTATTATTTAGGGTGTTATACTAAAAAACAGAATTTAGTTTACTTGATAGATAGAAAAGATGTGTATTTCTTTACTAGTAACTTTCTATCTAGACCTTGAGAAAATCATTTAACCTCTTGCATCTGTGATCTAATTCTTTAAAAGTGATAGATGTTAATCTTGGAAAAGGAATGTCCTTGGCTCTATCAGTAGATAATGAGCACAGGCTCATTTAAAAAAAATGATGATTATTTTTCAGGCTGTTATGAAATTGTTTCTAATTAAGTTTTTCTCTATGTTTGGCAATTTTTGGGTGATCACTTTAGTAAAGTTGTACAGCATCAAACTTTTAAAATAAATAGTCTTGTCCTGTGATTTGTATGAATTGATAAGCAACATTAGTAACTTCAGGGGATAAAAGAAATTATCATCAATAAAATGACACCCTGGACAGAACTTGAAAAATAAGGAAATCTTTGTTATGTGAAAAAAGTTTCAAATAAATATAGTGTTTTTTTTTTTCCTTTTTGTCTTTTTTCGTGACCGGCAACGGATCGCAACCCTCAGTGTTGCGCCCGTACCGGACCGGGACCGGCAACGGGATTGCAACCCTCGGTGTTGCTCCCGCACCTCGCTCAGCCAGTGAGTGGCCGGTCTGTATGTGGGATCCGAACCCTCGGCGGGAGCGCCGCCACGCTCCCAAGCGGCACACTGTAGCAGTGCGCCACCGGGCCGGCCCCTAAATATAGTGTTTTTAAAGAGCAATATATTACTAAATAAATTAACCAAAGTTAAAGTTTCATTTAAATAAACAAACCTTTTCCAATATAGTGTTTTTAAAGACCAATATATTACTAAATAAATTAACCAAAGTTAAAGTTTCATTTAAATAAACAAACCTTTTCCTGCCAATGTAAAATGCCAATTATTGCCAAGATGAAAACACAGACACCGATGAGAGCTATCGCAGTAAGCAGAACAATGTTACTTGGTGTAAGATACAGTTTGGCACTCCAGCTGTACACAGAAACAGAAAAATTAAAATTACAAATTATAACTGAAATACAATAAGCTTATACTGAGACAAAAAGGCAAAATATTGCCAGTTCTTTGCAAGAAAAAAAAAAGCAAAATAGCTTATTAATTAATGAAACTAATGAAACTATTAATTAATGAAATTAATTAATGATTTATTTATTAAATCACTCACCCATCCATTCACTCATTATAAATAAAACAAAAGTAATTACATTTAGATAATGCTAAGAATATTGATGATCCTGCAAAGTTCATATTTTACTCAGAGAATTTCTGATGAGATATTTCATTTTCTTTTCTCAAGTTTGATCCTGTGAGAATTATTCTTAAGTAAACTTATCAAGGATACTTTGGACAATCTCAGAATTTTTTTCATCTTAATTGACCTGCTGATTTTGAAACCCTGAATGCCAAGGCTATGTAGTCACATGATTTCTTCTTTTTCCTTCAAATCAGAATTTCCACAGCTATCACATGTTTCAGAAACATATGTGGTTACATGATTTCTACAAGGCTTCTGTATCGTCTTATTTTTGACCGCTGTCCACCTACAAGGGTACTTCAAAAAGTAAGTGGAAAAATTAGAATTTAAAGATAATACATTAGAGTGCAGCCTTATAACACCAAGGTCATGGTTTTGGATCCCTGTACTGGTCAGCCACCAGAAAAAAAAGAGAAAGATAATACAAATATTTCCATGAACTTTTTGAAGCACCCTCATATGTAGCATGACCAACTAAAACAACTATATGCCCAAATGAGTATATATAGATTACTTGTGTAAAACTTTTACCATTTCTGTATCATCTTGGAGGGTTTACATTACTACAATGACTTTTAGGTTGAGACCTCTAAAAATATCACCTTTAGTCCCTCACTGTTGTGGTAATATACAGACTGAAGGTCTTTAGCATGAATAGAACTAGCTCTTCCCTTCCAAAGCAGTCCATATAATATAGCACTTGCAAACCCTGAAAAGCCCAAAACCAAGGTCTATATCATCAACACTACAGGTGGTTATATACATAGAACTTTTCGATTTCCCTGGAAATAGATAATGGATATATTTTCATTTTAAAAGTTTAATAAAGATAAGATCATTCTGACAAATAGAAAATAGCTATTGATTTATTTAGGGATAATTAAAATGGATTGGCCCATAAGTTAATCTATATACACTCATTTGGACATATATTTGTTTTAGTTGGTCATGCTACATATGAGGGTGCTATCAGTTAGGCTCCAGTCAATAAATCTCAAAATACACTTCAAACTACAATCAATTTGGTTTTTATTATGTACATAAACTTGAAAAGAATATATATATTTTTTTCCTTTTTTTGTCTTTTTTCGTGACTGGTAACAGGATCGCAACCCTTGGTGTCATGCCCGTACCGCGACTGGCAACGGGATCGCAACCCTCGGTGTCACGCCCGCACCACGCTCAACCAGTGAGTGGACCGGTCTCTATATGGGATCCGAACCCTCAGCGGGAGCGCCACCGCACTCCCAAACGCCGCACTCTACTGAGTGTGCCACCGGGCCGGCCCAAAAAATAATATTTCTTTGGAAAGAACAAGAGAAACATGAAAATGTTCAGATTATGGAAGGAAGCTATAGCAGAATTTTCTGGAAATTCAGAAGAGTAAGTAAACCTTAAGAAAGTAAATACTGTTAATTAGTTGAGGTTAGCTACTCTCAGTACCTTACTCATACTAAAAAAAAAAAAAAACTTCTTTCATGATTTTTTTGGTAGTTCTAGTTTTGAAACAGATATTTAAAAAATCAGGAATATACGCATTTTGGTTAAAAAAAAAAGTAGGACGAAAGCCAATCCTCAGTTTCCTACTCAGAGGCAGTCACTGTTTCTTGCATATCCTTTCAGAGATATTTTATATATGTGTAAATGAGTCATGATATTGCACTATATAGAAGTACCTACCATACTTTATATGGTTTCCTACTCATGGTCCAGATTTTCTAGCTTTGTTATAAATTTCATGTATAGAAAACTAAAACATACAATACAGCCTAAAAAATGTGACTCATGTTGATATCAGTCGAGTATATTTTTCCCAGTGAAATTTAAATGTTAGTGAATACCTTCATACTACTTTAAAAAGATAATACTTTTAAAAAATTTAAAAAATACTTTAAAAAGAAAAGAATCAACCTAGTAATTTAAATGAACAAAGATACAAATTAAGGATTTGAAGTTAAACACTATATTATGAAAGGCATGTATTCTGCTAATAAGGATAAAGATACCTACTGTTCACTAACTATATGCTCAGCACTGTTTTAACTGTATTTCATCTTCATCCTATCTTCCATTCTACAGATGCAGAAATTGAGCCTCAGAGAGGACAAAGGACTAGCTTCCCAATCTTGTGGTTAGTCAGCAGTGGAGGTGAGTTTTTCTAGCCTACCTCTATTTGACTCCAAAATTTATGACTCACCACTGTGAAATATATACCACTTCTTAAAGAATGTATTAAAAAGATCACTGCTAACAAAAAATTTAGTATCCTGAAATTTTAGAGTTTATAGCTAGTAAACTGAAGACTAATTTATTTAAGCAGAATATATATAAATCCCTAATTAGTTAACCTGCTGTTTTTCTAATAGGATTGAGTTTGTTTTTCATGAAAAATGTTAGGGACCTTTTCTGTAGGTATGTCTAGTCATTTAAAGTTTGCTGTAAGCAAATTAAATGATGGTCCTTTATGGGAACACAGCAGGAATTAAAGAGAGATTTTAAAAGACATAACTATATCTATGATTCAGAGTTGACAGTATCTTTATCAAATTCAGTTCAAGAAAGACATTACCTTCGAGGGACATTGTGAGGGTATGGAATGACAATTAGCTGCGAATTTGGAATGATTGCAGTCCACTCTTGTTTTCGTATAGACTGGAAAAAGAATTTAAGAACATTTAACATCCAGGGCATTTGAAAAACACAATTATTATTCTAAATAAATAAGAAAAAACCTCAAATACTTTGAGAAACTGAAATCCTAAGTGTAGGATTAAGCAAAATTTATGTATATTAAGCCCAAAATAGGGCTCCTGTTCCATCTGTTGGAAAAACTTTCCGATCTTTTCAGTGAAGGATTATATTTGTGTCTTATGAATTCATTCATTCAACAAGTATTTATTGGACACTTATGTAGCAGAAACTGTACAAAGAGCGATGTACAAATGCTGCTTAGAGGTGAAATTCAAGTTGGCAGGAGATGAAGTAAATAACAGTATTATTACACATATTATACACATACATATATAACATATACATAAATATAATGCTATTTTACTTAGGTTAGTAAAATATTTTACTTATGCATATTAGGTGATGAAAAATGTTAAGAAGAAAAGGCAGGAAGGAGGTATAGGTGGGTTTGTGANAGGTGAAATTCAAGTTGGCAGGAGATGAAGTAAATAACAGTATTATTACACATATTATACATATACATATATAACATATACATAAATATAATGCTATTTTACTTATGTTAGTAAAATATTTTACTTATGCGTTTACTTAGGTTAGTAAAATATTTTACTTATGCATATTAGGTGATGAAAAATGTTAAGAAGAAAAGGCAGGAAGGAGGTATAGGTGGGTTTGTGAGGTTTATGGGAGAGGAAATGGAAAAACTATACAATATCTTCAAATCATGATGTGCTCTGTGTAAGATAAGCTCAGACAGGTCACTACTAATTAATTCTTTAGAGACAATAAAAAATATTGAATCATTTGAATTAAAATTCAATTGGGTTCAAATTATTGAATTCAAATATTTAAATAGTGAATATTAAAACACAGATTAATTGTAAATGAACTGAGTTTTTACTCACCTTCTCTCCAGATGGGCGAGGAATACCAACATAAAGATGGTCAAGAAAATTTGCACTTCGGCCTAAACCAAGTACGTTGTATGGTAGTTGGAGAGCTAAATGTGCTGACTGGCTGAGCTGTCCAGCTAGATTTATTTAAAAAAAAAAAAAATATATAAATATATATATATATATTTATATATTTCTTTAGAAACATTGCTCTCATCAGATATTTAAATGGTAAAATGTTACAAATTTAGGTATTAGAACTTTAAGTACAAAAATGTGAAATGTGCGGAGAAAAAGGAAATCTCATACATTGTTGGTGGGACTGCAAAATGGTGCAGCCTCTAT